TATTGAGAATTTATTATGAATTATATTAGTTACAAAATTTTGATTGTTATGCACATTTCGTTTAGTTAGTTTAGTTAAGTCCAAGTTAAGTCCAAATTCTCATAATTTGGAACACTGCTATTGCAAATTATTTGTCCTTTATTCTGATATGTAAAAGCCAACTACGATTAAACCTGTGTTTCTGTTAAATAAAATGTTTCAAATTAAATGGTACCTTCCTCTTTAAACGGGTTTATCTCAAAAAAATATCTATTTTATGGATATGCAACAAGTATACCTTTTTTACGTAAAATACCATAAATTTTTATAAAATGATGGAAAATTTGGGGTATAGTGGAACAAACATTTTTTTTTCTAGAAATTTTGGTGGGGGGTGCTTTGCCCCCGGGCCCCCATAATTATTATCGAGGATTTCATATTATCATCCAAAGCAGATTCAAAAATTATAGATCCAGCCAAAACATTTTCAAAATTTATTGAAAAATACAAAAGTTACAGCAAAAAAACCACTTTTAATTCTCAACTTCAAGAGCTAATAACTCTACAGGGTGAGCCCGGAGGAAAAAATTGTATAAGAACTTGTGACATTATTTTCTCATTATCTATCCATATCCGAGAGATTGCCCACCATTTCCGAGACACCCTGTATATGGACATCGAATCCTTCGAAAAGGGGATTCAGATATATCGTGGATCTAACAACGTAGGAAGATCCCACTAATGGATACTCATTCGTACGCGTCATCATGGGGGTTGAAGAAAATGGCATCCCACGGCATAATATTTACATAAATCCATTTTTTACATAATTCAAGCCTAGAATAGGAGCTAGGAACGCAGACAACAATAATTCCTAAGTAGTATCAGAATTCTGGCGAGAGAGACAACGTATTGGTCAATACTCTACAAAGAAGCAATACTAGAATTTGGAAAAGTAAAAATCAAGAACGTCGCCAGAATGTCAGATGTCAAATTTACATTCGTCTAACCGACCGACATGGCACTCACCCAGAAAATTTTTCAACTGTTCAAATCTGATCCAGAAGTCCGTAAACCAAGAGAATGAGGTGGATAACCCAAACGTTTTTTATTGTCCGCCTTGTAGGATGTTGCCATATACAAGGCAGAGCACGATATTTTGCGCACTGGCAAAAACTACTTGCACACCTGTAGCCAAACTTAATGCCATGTTATCTAAAAAATATTACCCAAACACGTGTGTAATTTTCACAGGATAAAGGCTGTGCTGAACTGGAGGGGTTACCCTTGGTACTCGCAACCATCAGTTTGAATGGTACAGGTGCGGGAATTTTTGGGAATTTTTCTTGGTACACTGAGAGAAATCGTTTAATAGCGGCCGGCTATGGAAATTTTGTTAAATAGTGCTAAAGCACAAAGCTAGCTGATCTACTTCAGTAAACGTCAAATTTGTAGATTAAATACTGGTGTTTTTGTAAAAAAATAAATGCTATTTTTGAAAAGCTTTTCGATTTTTGACACAAAAAAGTTTTTTTGGCTGTTTTAAGGATGTTATTTACACATTTAAATTTAAACTGTCTTTGTTATTTCCTGTAAGTTGTGAAAAATGTATTTTCAATTATATACGTTTCGGAGAATTTTGATAGTGTCGTTATTCACTTGTTATTCAAAAATTTTTATTAGCTTAGGAGATATTTATTAAAATAAATAAAACGAAAGAAAAACTTAATACAGAAATCAATTAAGTACTGTGTTGAAAATGGTATTTTATTTCGAAATAGCCTCGATTCGTTTGTCGGAAGTCGTCTTAGAGTTAGACATTTTTTTTTCATTCCAATTTAACATTTTGGTGACCTCTTTGAACCTCTTAAAACTTACCTCAAAAACTACTAAATATGTCGAAATACCTCTTGAGTTTTGAGAAACTTTCCTTAATGTTTTGTGGCGTTTTTGCAACACCGATATTTGTTGTCTCACAAGAGTTGTTTTACCTACGAAAGGATGTGTAAAAGGTACAAAATCGAAATTTGTACTAACGTTTTTTAACTTTGATAGACATAAGTAAATAATAGTTATTTATTGTATAAGTGTTTAAGTAGCATTTTATTCATGCAAGAATGTTTAAATGCGAGAACGTAGTTCGAGATATTGGAAAATATAACAAGCTTACTGCTTATTTGAAGAGTGAATCGAGAGGATACAAAGCAAAAAAACTGCAGGATTGGAATTGAGGAATTTTTGACTGAGGCTTCCTATAAAGAATATTTCTTCATAAACTTCAGCAGATGTTATACGTTCCGAAAATGACGGCAACAATGCTACAAGGGTTGTTATTAACGGAAAGGAAGTCAAATGTGATAAAACAAAAATAGAAATGTCTATTACTATAAACGTAAATGTTAATGTTAATAAATAAATAAATAAAATTTATTATTTTTTCATTATTTTACTAGTGAAAGAAAGTTACTTTATTCCGCTAGTGGATAAAGTATCACTTTAGACGGTTCATATGTGTGGATAAAAGTCCGATTATAAGGTGATTGTGGATAAAATATTGTTTTATGCTTGATGAAAATGTATTTATAGAGGAATATACCTGCGAATTGACGTATAAACAAAAAAATATGTATCTACCCATAGCGTCTCGTGAATGAGCAATTTTATGGTGATTTGCCCCAGCTCCCACTCGCCATTCTTTTATTATAGAGTATTAGGTATTTGTACCGTATTTACATTAAACATATTCATAGAAAATAAATAACACCTGACTCACCATATCACGATAATAAATGGTTTGTAGTTATTATTTCTCTACGGAATGTGCCTATATGTTTTGAATAAGTAATAGGTCTCTGCTCGTATATTAAATAAATTGAAAAATTTTACGAGGCATTCGTATTGCATAGGGAAATTTTGCTGGGATGCACAAAATCCGAAATCCAAGTAAAATTGTGCTCAACAAAATTATAAGTATCCGAAAAAAGATCACGAACAATCATAGAAAATATCATTTATAATAAATAACGTAATTGCTTACTTGTTGTTTCAATAGAATTCCTCAGAATGAGTAGGAGAATGACGATCTTTGCTAAAGGTTTTTGAACTGGGAATTTTAATTTTACTTACATCAGCAGGTCTGTCGTGTCTTATTTTAGTGAGCTGGCATTGCCAATACATAGTAGTGCCCATTCATTTAAATGTAAATCAACAATTATTATGTGGACAATTTGGGTTTAACTAATGAGTATCCATCAGTAGCACAGTATAATACAGACTATTAAGGACGAACACATTTTTATAAATAGGTTTAATCGTTAGCAAGTTCCCTGTTCTGTGGGTCTAAGCCTGTGGCGCAACTTTTAAATTTCTTCGAAAAATTGTACCGATTCGAATTGATACCTTCGTTAAAACGCCATTTTGGGTATATCTTGGTGCTTATTTATCCACAATCAAACAGTGTAGTGGATGGAAAAGTATTACCGTTGTTGAAAGTCGTACAGAAAATTCCATAGAACAGAAGAAAAAAATCTCATCGACAGTTCTAGGTAATGTGCATACAGCTTTATGATGTAGCAAAGGAAATAATCGACCAGAAGCTGAAGCTGCATCTTTGGAATTACTTCCGCCAAAATCTAAAGAAATTTGTTATTCAAAGCTTGGAAGATACAAAATGCAAAACAGACAAACTTGGAAGAAGATTGCTTGGCGTACTATTTACAAAAGTTGGTTATCAAATTATTGCTAATTCGTGACTAAATTACAATCAATGGTAGTTATTTAGTCACGAAAATACAAGATTGGATTGTGTGGGCACAGTATTCAATGGTCAACTCTACGTTGAACGTTTACGAAAATGAAACATGCTGGGAACACAGTCAGAAGATCGTCGGTTTTTTTTTCAATTGAAAAACAACAAATTTCTTGTATACACACCAGATGCTAACTATTTATTGGTGTAGGTACGTTTATTTATTAAATTATTGCCGTATGTTTAGGTGGTTACTATTGGTGGGTACAGATGTGACGAACTAGAGATGTGCATAGAGCATTTAGAAGAAAATAGTGATGTCCTACTGGTGGAACAGTTTTTCACGATTTTGAGTGAAGGTTTTAGCAATTGAGCTACTTATATCGAAGCTTGTTTCCGCGGAAAATAACAACCATCTGATTGTTTTTTCTCAACCACCTACAAGAAAAATGTACTTTTCATTCTGTAGGTATTATTAACACACACTCGGAAAAATACCTACTAGATTCCTGAAACTAGAAAATCCAGAAACATGTACTGGACATTCATTTCGCACATCAGCAGCTACTGTCTTAGCAAATTGTGGCGAATATACCAGTACTTTGAAACGTTTTGGTTGTTGGAAAAGCGACAAAGTTGCTGAATGATATGTCGAAGATGCTCTTCAAAAGAAAATCAAATTTGGGTTGGATATTTTGAAGAAAAATGCTGACGCTGCCTCTACTACTTCTTACGTACTGTTGATCTCTTCTACTGCTTGTTCTACGGTTACAGTAGAAAATATTCATAGAATGATGTATCGCAAAGAAAATGAGCTCCTTATGTTTCAATAGTGGAATCGCAATGCTATTTTTCATTTCACTATAATATAATGTTGTTTAATGTTGTTTTCCATATTTAAATCATTTCACCAGTGTCATTGGTGGACGAAATTTGATTTTAGTCACTGAAAACCAACCTGTAAAACACGTACAAGGCTGCAACTGTTATACAACGTACTATTGTTTGACATGCACAGAATTCAACTCAATTCCGTTGAATTTTGGAAATGTTATTGCAGACCAGTTATTCACCAGTATATTATGGATCAACAGACTCTCACAGTCACATTGCCAGCAAAACAGTACTATACAACCAATTACCATCATTCGAGACAATAGCGGGCAACTGACACAAAAACAAAGTCCTAAGCTTCATAGAAAACCATCAGACCATGCCCTAATACCTCTATTCTCCCCATCGCGGCATTAATTTCAGTAATTTATAGTAATTTTTAACTTTTGGCCGAGTCGTTGCAACCGACCCCCCTATTTTCGTGGTCCGCAGACCCCGTCTCCGCTTCCGCCGCTGGTTTTTCGAACCTGGGGGACGCCTTCAGCAGGTTGAGACTATCGAGCCGCCTCTGCTGCTCGTCCTGCTCCTCGTCGGACGACTTCTCGATATCGTTGATGGCCTCCTTGAGTCCGTTCAGCGTGGCTAAGGGTATGTCCACGCTGTTGCAGTGTATCCGCGACGTGTTCTTGTACACCGCCGCCATTATCTTCGGTCGGGTGTCGTCGGGCAGCCGGCCGAGCGGCTCGTCGTTGACGTAGCCGGCGTAGACGTTGTAGCCGCGACCGCCGGTGTCGTAGCACTGCTGGGTGGTGTAGCAGTAGGAGGGGCGGGTCAGGCTCGAGTTTGACTGGGACAAACCGGTTTTCAGTTGGGCGCAAAGGGAGTCTGGGGTCTCCGTGTTGGGGGATGCCGTCTCCATGTAGTACTCGCTGTCGTCGCACTCTTCTAGGGTCTCCTCGTCGCTGTACCTACAAAAAGATATTCATTTCTAACAGACAGCTAGCACGTTTTGTAGACCAACAGGGATATTTGCAAATTTTTACGTCACTATTTTTGTTCTCTAATTATAAAAGTTTACATCGTGTAAAATACAAGCGGTCCACGCGCAAATAATGTGACGTCACATCGTGCGTTGTAACCGCAGACGTGCTCTTTGACTGCAGATTTATTTTGTGTTTGCAACATGCAAAGTTTTCAACTTATATGAGTAAATACGTAAATATTTGTAAGTGTTCCTAAAGAAAAAACCTTCATCATTGCTTATTGGTACAAATAGTACAAAAGAAATAAAACGTAGGTTAATAAATGACAATACGACATATGACACGTCGATGTCGATAGAACGGTGTGACGTCATAATCAGCGAGAAACCGTTTCGCTGCACAAGACATATTGAATTTTAATAGTTAATATTTTAATATTTCGTTGTGGTAGCAGTTAGTTTACCTATCTGGGGGATTGTGCACCAACGCGCATTGGTCACTGATCGAAACTGAAACCTCTGGTTCTGCGCAAGAAGTTGGCCCCCCTGACCCAGGGCTCCTCCTCACACCTTGCTGCACCTCCACGACGAACACGCCGTTTCTGGCGCCGGGGCAGTACTTCATGGTGGTCTCCCTGCTGTCCTGTTCTATGTCCTACAGAACAATATTATTAAGTTGATATGTGATAGCCATTGATATATAGATTAATAATAAATAAATAAATAAAATTATACAGTTCGAAGTTTGACTGTCTCAATTTTAACAGGCGATAGAATACATCTGTATGTAGTGAAAAGTACAACGTTGGATAAATAAAATGAATAAACGAAATAAAATATGTGTGTAAGGTGCCTTATTTGTGTTTTGGCCATAGAAACTAAGATATGCTGATTTAATGAGTCGATTCCATGGAAGATTACTAAAATATGTAACTTACATTTCTCTCCTCTGTCTCCACGATTAAGTGGTTGTTCTTCAACGTCATTGTTATGATGCTGCCGTTGGTGCTGGAGTGATTATTGCTTCGAATTTGACTATTTATTTCAGTACCATCGCATACCTCCACGTCCTCCGTGTTTATGGCCAGATGGGTATCTCCACAAGGCTGGAAGATAGGAAGAATTATTTAACTTACGCAAATAATGGTTAAGCGATATTGCAAGAAATCGATTAAGGCAAAGTGGCTCGTAGATATCATCGAAAATAGTCAAGTTTCGATTTTAAGTTTAAAAAATGTTTGAAACAACAGAATAATTTCGATAAGACCATTAATAAAATTAGAATTTTAGTTAAACCATGTTACTGACAGCTCTTTACACGTTATATACAGGGTGTCCCAGAAATAAGTGTCAAAATACAACTCATCAAAAGTAAAATTTTCTGTATAATATTTTTTTTGAAAACCCTCAATTTTCAGATCTCATGTTTTAAAATTATTTTTTTTTTAAATAATAATTATTGATTCCATAAAACATTCTCGTTTCTTACGCGTGTCTTTAATTCATAGCAACACTTAATAGGTACAAAATATCGAAAAAGAGTATGAATATTTGAAAAAAAATGATATAGAAATTGTTGCTTTTGCTGAATGAATCAAATACATGTTAAAAACTTTACCAGTTATTTTGGACTCCTTGTATGTAACTTAAAATATTTTTTTAATAAGAAACAGTCCTTCTTTGACTGTAAGCCTTCTTTTCAATTTGTTGTGCGTTTAGTTTTCCAGTTCCACATCACGCTATGCATTTTTTATTCTCTTGTTAAACAATTTGCATTTTCGTTCAATTGCTGTTGACCACCATATGACGTTAATTTCGCACAAACCTCGAGGCCTAGTTCGAAAAGGAAGTCTTGTGTAACTCTGGGAACCAAATATGCCTCACTGTTTTCCCAACATTAAAAAAAAATCCGACTATGATTTCTGTTATACTCAGTTGTGAATTACGATTTAAATATTAAGATATAGGGAAGCGTATTTAGCTACATTTTTTATTCTGCTACCAATTTCGTACACCAATATAGCTCCCCATCATCAGACAAAAAGAGTTTAGATAACAATTTTTAAAGAATTGGTAAATACAGCATACAGGGTGTTAAAAAAAGAATGTAAAATATTTAAGGAGGTAATAGTATGAACCAAAATAAGCAGAAAAGTCTCAATAAACATGGGTCTGCAAAGTAACGGTTGCGGAGATATGGAATGTTTTATGTTTTTTAGCCCCTTTTTTTATTTTGCAAAAACGTTGTGTATTTTCTTATAATAGTTGGTTGATGTTTAGTGAAATAAACAGTACGTATTTGACAGTTGTTCTCAGTGCACAAGTTTTCTTTCGCTATGGCTGGTTACTCTAACGCAGAATTAACAGACATGCATTTCATGTATGGTCGTGCTAATGGGAACGCCACCGAAGCGCGACGTCTTTATGTTGACGCTTATCCAAATCGCCAGATTCCTTCACAACGCATGTTTGGAAGAATTCACCAAAGATTGCGTGATACCGGTTCCTTGAGCAAACAGTGCCATTTATCCGGAAGACCAAGGTCGGTATCCACTCCTAGAGCAGAAGAAGAAATTCTAGCACTGGTAGAGCAGAATCCAGGTACGAGTGTGCGGAGAATATCAGCCGAGGTAGGAATTAGTGGTCCTCTTGTTTGGAGAATCCTTCACGAGCAACTGCTTTATCCATACCATGTGCAACGAGTACAGGCCTTAAATCCAATAAATGATCATCAAGCACGTTTGGTTTTTTGCCGCTGGTTTCTACGTCATGATGCTGAAGACCCTCGTTTTCTTGCAAACATTCTTTTTACTGATGAGGCCGGGTTCACAAGAAATGGAGTGTTTAATTTTCACAATACGCATATTTGGGCCGACGAAAATCCTCATGCTCTAATAGAATCTGGACATCAGGCACGTTTTTCATTAAACATTTGGATGGGTATTGTAGGTGACAGGTTTCTAGGTCCTGTTGTTTTACCAAACCGATTAACAGGCGCTGCTTACCTCAACTTTCTGCAGAACACACTGTATGAGTTTTTGGAAGACATTCCTTTGAATCAGAGGCAACAAATGTGGTTCCAGCATGATGGTGCTCCAGCTCATTTTTCCATGGCCGTTAGAGAGCATTTACACCAAACTTTTCCACATAGATGGGTAGGAAGGGCCGGACCTGTTTTATGGCCTCCAAGATCGCCTGATCTGAACCCTCTAGATTTCTTTGTTTGGGGATATTTGAAGACATTAGTGTATGGTACTCCTGTAAATAGCCTGGAAGAGCTGCAGCTACGGATTAATCAAAAGTGTCAAGAAATCCAAACCAAGGAGGGTGTTTTCGAAAGAGTTCGAATATCGTTGAGACGAAGATGTCGTGCCTGCTTGGAAATGGACGGAGGGCACTTTGAACATCTTCTGTAACTTTGTTTTTTGTTTGTTAAAAGCTTCCTTTGTCGGTTTATTCCTAATAAAATAAAATGTTTGAAAAACGAATAGTGGTCCATATCTCCGCAACCGTTACTTTGCGGACCCATGTTTATTAAGACTTTTCTGCTTATTTTGGTTCATACTATTACCTCCTGAAATATTTTACACTCTTTTTTTAACACCCTGTATATTTGTGGCAAAATAGGGGGCAGTACAGGTAATGCGATTCCATGGGCGTATCATTTTTGGGAGTTTCAAAAATATAGAACATAAAAATACCAATTTTCGTAAAAACTGGATATACAAAGTAAGTAGGTACTATTTTATTTACATTAAAGGATGTATTCAACAATTCTACTTTCGTAGGCAAAAATAGCTTACTACGATCAGTCTACTCATTTCCTTTTTCTATTACAGGACGTAACAAGTGAGTTTACTAACTAGACAAGTGGCTCCTGTATACTTTCGTAGTGTTGTAACAGTAAACTCACAAAGTCAGTAGCAGTTTGATCACTCAATTTTGCTTCAAAAGCTTGATATGTTTGGCGTATCAGAACACATATTAAGTTTTTTCAGGTTTATAATAGAATATTTTTTTACAAAGCAGCATTTAGTTTATAATGGGTATAAATCTGTCGAGTATGTAGCTATCTCAGGAGTTCCTCAAGGTTTCATTTTTGGTCCTTTATTATTCGTTACGTTCATTAATGATTTAGTGAACAACTCACGTTCATCCTTAGGCGTTTACGTCGATCTATGTGTAAATGGATAAATACAGAAAAACGTAATATTGTGTCCTTCTGCAACAAGTCAAAATGTTACAATTTTTATACAGAGAATACTGTTAATATCTTTAGTTAGCGAGAATGCATTTGGAACCACTATTTCAGTACAATTTTTTCTTTAAATCTAAACGTGTATCAATGTTTTGCTGATGTAGTTAAAGACATCCAAAGAGAAATATGCAAATCGCTAAAATCTCCATACCCATTTCATTTGTAAAACACATTTCCCGAAATTAATGTAATTTACTGCCAAAAGCGGCCGTTTTGGCAATTATTCCTCGAAATTATCTTGCCATTAAGTGAAATCCGACCGCAGTCCCAAAAAATTGCCGTGCCAAATGATGGGAGATGTCGTAGCGAAATAAACGATCTCATTGTTTGCCCCGGAGACTCGAAATAAGAGAAAAACGTTCCCAAATTATCATCGTGCGTGATAATGGACGTTTAAAGGTACAATTCGGCCATTTGGGACTATGGCGAAGTCACTAACCTACCCGTAGCCGCGAATTTCATAACGAAAATCGTTTTCCTGGAATGGTAGGTGTTCTTCGGAGAAATCTAATCATGTGAATAGATGGGTTGGGTGCCCCAGTTCAATCGTATTAATGTTGCTACAATTTTTTTAAGAATTGCGGCTTAACCTGTTCGCAAAATAATATATAACTGTAAATGACGAAATTTGTCTTTTGTGTTGACATATGACAATAAACAAATAATTTACCTGAAAAAAATCCAATGGGTTCAAGTATGGAAAACATGGAGGCCGCACCGATCCATCCATTTGGGTATTGGTCGTTTAGATAGTGAAATTGAACATTTCTGTGACAATTTCTTGACCAACAATTTGTTGTTTGATTAATGTAAAATAGATTTGACTTTGAATATTACCAGTTTAGACGCAAGTTAAAAGTATTTTTTATGTTAAAAATGGCGATAAAGGCAACTCTATGATCAAATTTGGAATTCGTTCAACGAATTAACAAAAAATTTACCTAATTTCCTTCTAAAGAAGAAGGGCAGCTTCAAAGAATCGAAATGCAAGGAATACGTCTGATTCCGGGTCGTGTAGACATACTGGCCACTGCTCTGGTTGTAGGACTACAAGACACAAGAGTTGACGTTCGATCCCTCATCATGATAGCTGCGCTAGTTCTCTAGGACTACTGTTCGGTATGAATCCTGACATCTGGCGTTTCCAGACTCATGGCAATTCATAGCTGTTGACTTGTCCCGTCGCGACGTGGAATCTGGCTGTTATTTTAGATTTTTGTAAGGCAAATCGGTATCGTGTATCAGCAGCAGGCACAGTACCGGGTTTTTTAGGAGTCGTTTTCTGCTCCTACGTATTTCTTCTTTTTTTTATATTTTTTTGTATTCTTATTATCATATTTATTACTTTTTTCAATGTTTTATCTCTTACTTTGTATCTTTTGGCAGCAATAAAGGACTTACACTAAATCAAACTGCATATTTTCCGAAAATATCCGGAGTTATAGGTGTAGCAGGCAAACTAAGAATAAAACCAACTGAATTATACGCTCATTCCACGTACATTTGATATAAAAATTAATCCATTCGTTATTTTTCGCATCGCACGCCATAAATCAGTTATTTGTGCCGGCTTGTACACACCCGACCGTGCAATAAAAATAGCGATATGCAAGTTCAAAGGTGACAAGCTGTATATTTGCTTAAACTAACATGCCTTCATGTGTGACAGTTATTTGGGGAGCCGGATTTATTTTTTAAATAAATACCGTACATTCTCTGTAAATATTTAGCGATCCGACTAAGAGATCTGTTAGTTTTACTATAATTTTTTTTTTAGTTTGTTTGGTTATGTTAGACGGCTAGACACCGTGTTTGACGAGAGTAGTAAACGTTGAGCTTAAATATTGG